AACCCACGGGCTCAGGCAATCCACTCACCTCAGCCTCCCAAAGGCGCGGGATTACAGACTGAGCCACTGAGCCGGGCTTGAATTCATTTAACAATCAACTGAGGCCGGCTCGAGTGACTCATGGCTGTAATCCAAGCATTCTAGGAGAAGGAAGTGAGAAGATTGCCTGAGCCCACAGGTTCGAGACCAACCTGGGCAACATTTTCTCCAAAATCAAACAGGAACAAAGAATTCCACCTTTCCTAATAGGGAAGCAGGGAGCCATTAAGTTTATCCTCCCCTAACTTTTATTTTTTAAAGTTATTACAAGTTATTATTTTCTTTTAATTTTTTTATTTTAAAGATGGGTACAACTCAGGGTTAGGTACACAAATGATCATTATGCACGTACCCTTGTTGACAAGGTGTGCCCCTCCCTCCCCTGGCAGTTTCCCTCAACTGTCAGTCCCACCCCCCCTTCCCTGGCAGTTTCCCACTAATGCCAATTCCTTTCTTATATTATTATGATAATTGTTCAAGGTCCGCTTATAAGTGAGAACATATGGTACTCTGTTCTTTGTTTCTGTGATAGATCACTGAGTATGATAGACTCTAAATCCATCCAGGTTGCTGCTAAGTTCATATGTTTGCCCTTTTTTATTACTGCCTAATATTCCATTGTGTATATGTACCACATTTTTGTTATCCAGTCCAGCTTCGATGGGCAACATGTTTGGTTCCATGTTTTTGCTATTGTGAATAGAGCTGCAACAAACATGCATGTGCAGGTATATTTTTTTGTAGAATGATTTGAGTTCCTCTGGGTATATTCCCAGTAGGGGGATTGCTGAGTCATATAGAAGGTCAATTCCTAGTTATTTCAGAAATCGCCACACTGTCTTCCAAAGAGGTTGCACTAATTTGCATTCCCACCAACAGTGTAAAAACGTTCCTTTTTCTCTGCATCTTCGCCAGCATCTGTTGTTTGTTTTATTATTGTTATTATCATTATTAATGATACAAGTTATTATTTTTTACTTTAAATTTTTTTTTTTATTTGAGTTGGAGTTTCACTCTGTTGCCCAGGCTGGCATGCAATGGCACACTCACAGCCATCCCAGCATCAACCTGCAGGGCTCAGGTGATCCTTCCACCTCAGCCTTCTAAGTAACCAGAACTACAGTCACGCGCTACCAAACCCGGCTAATATTTTTGATTTATTGTAGAGATGAGGGCTCTCCAAGTTGCCCAGGCTGTTCTTGAACCCATGGACTCAGGCAGTCCTCTCACTTTGGCCTCCCAAAATGCTGGGATCACAGGTTTGAGCCACCGGCCAGTTATTATTTTTTAAATTTATTACAGGCGTGAACCACTGCACCAGGCCAAATACATGAATCTTAAATGTTCAAGCCAGGCACGATGGCTCACGCACGAATCCCAGCACTTTGGGAGGCTGAGGTGAGAGGATTGCCTGAGCCCATGGGTTCAAGACTAGCCTTGGCAACTTGGCAAGACCTTATTTATACAATAAATCAAAAAATTAGTCAGGCATGGTGATGTGTACCTGGAGTTCCAGCTACTTGGAAGGCTGAGGCGGAAGGATCACCTGAGCCCAGCAGGTCAAGGCTGTGGTGGCCATGAGCGTGCCAAGGCATTCCAGTATAGGTAACAGAGTGAGACTCCAACTCAGAAAAAAGAAAAGAAAAGAAAAGAAAACTACTAGTCTCTGGGTGAGTAGCTACTTTCCAATCTTAAAAGCAACAGAAGATATTACCAAAGAAAAGCACAATAAATTTGAGCACATTTAAAGATAAAATATATTTATTTATTTTTGAGTTGGAATCTCATTCTGTCAACCAAGCTGAAGGGCACTAGCACGCTCCCGGCTACCGCAGCTTTGACCTGCTGGGCTCAGGTGATTCTTCTGCCCCTTCCAAGTAGCTGGAACTACAGGCACTCACCACCGTGCCTGGCTAATGTTTTGATTTATTGTAGAGATGAGATCTCACCAAGTTGCCCAGGCTAGTCTCGAACCTGAAGGCTCAGGCAATTCTCTCACCTCGGCCTCCCAAAGTGCTGGGATTCCAGATGTGAGTCACTGCACCTGGTCTGCCTTGGAGGATTTTAACATCAGAAAAATCTCTGCTCCACATCTCCTCCCCCTCTTCCAAATGCAAACCTAATTCATCAGGAGAGAACATGCTAAGACCTGAGTTTTATCCCTTCCTTACAAATCCACCAGCCAAGATAGCAAACATTCCCTGGGGAATATGAGCTCAAAGAGGGAAAGAAAGTCTAGACATCTTTGGAAAGAAATCATCATAAGATAAAGACAGATTAAACTACCTGTAATAGACAAAGCAGATTGGTGAGCCAAGCAATTGAAAATCAACATATTAATATCCTCAGAAAGATAAAGATTCATGAAAATATGAGGAAAGTCATCATGGATGTTTTGCTTCTAGTAATGTCAGACTAACTTGTTTCAGACCAACCTTCCTGCCAATAACAAATAGAAAAGCTAGTCAAAATAGGAAATAACTGTTTGAAGGCGTTAGAGAGCTACCAAAGC